GGGGGGGGGGGGGGGGGAGGGAGGCTTTGTTGTGGGACTGGTGCATGGGAGAGGGTCACCGAGGAAGGGAAGAGCAAGCCGCATCGCCTGCCTGTGGCTGGGATGCCATGAGGGGGCGTGTGTGGTTGGCATGCCTTCGCTCAGATTCAACGTACCTGCGATGAAGGGGCCTGCGCCGTTGCACTGCACTCGCATGCCTTTGGGGCCATTGTCGGGTTACCGGCTGAGTTGTCGCCAAGGAGATCCGTAGTCTCCTTCTCCCTCCTGGCCCACTCCCATCATCCCTTTTTCCCAGCACAACACCCCCACACTCACCCCCACCCCCGCGTGCCCCCTCACAGGCCCGACTACGGCGACCAGGCGGTACTGGATGCCTTCTCCGCCTTCATCGCCCTGGTCAACAACCGCGGCTTCATCCCGGCAGGGGCCAACCCCTCCTCGCAGCCGGTGCCCAACAACCTGCCCGCCACGCCCCACGGCCGCCTGGCAGACCGCCCAGGAGGTGGGCGAGGGCTGGTGTGGGGTTTCTGCTGGGAGCAGGGTGTCGTGCCTGGGGGGTAGAGGAGGGTCGGGGCCCTGGGTCTGGCATCAGAGGGGCCGTGAATGGGCCGGGCAGCCGTCATGTGCTGGAGAAGTCCCAGATGTACGTTGTTCTCAAAACAAGAACAGCATGTCCCAGGATTCCTCGCTCACTGACACACGCACTGCACCTGCAGACTGGGGCGTGGCTGCTGGGGGAGCGGGGGCCTCTGGCGGCCTCGGCGGCGCCCCCAGCGACGAGGAGCTGGCCAGGCGGCTGCAGGAGGAGGAGGACTCTGGTGCGTGGGCGATGAACGTGATCGCAGTCTTGCCTGTCGGCGATCGCAACCGCCCCGCAGGGGCAGGCTCTGCTTGTGGGCCCCTGTGGTGGGCATGCGAGTGCGCGGCGTCGCATGCCATGCACCCAGCCACCCGGCCTGGGAGCCACCCAAACCCTTGCGTGACAAACAGGAGCCCCAGGGAACCCTATCCCATGAACCAGGTATCCACCCCCCCCCCCCCTCCTCTTCCCGCACAGCCTTTGCGGCCCGGCTGGCCAGCAATCCGGAGGACCACCCCGCGGCCTCCTCCAACGCCTCCTTCGCCAGCTCCGCTGGCTGGCAGGGCCCGGGCCAGGCCGGCGGTCGCCCAGGCCCTCCCTCGCCCAGCCACACACCCGCCCCGGGTGGCGCGCTGTACCCTCGCATCGACTACGAGCAGCGCTACGCCGACCAGGCGGCGCCCCCTTCCCCTCCGCGCCTCCCCTCCAGCCTGCAGTCCACGCCCTCACGCATCTCGGCGCCGGGCACGGGCGCGGGACCCCTGGGCCTGTCTGCCCTGGGAGCCGCCGCAGGGGCGCCCAGCAGCGCCGGCGCCGCGGCGGGCGGCGGCCCCGGGCCGGCCGCGGGACCGGCCTCGGCCGCCACACCCCTAATCAGCCTTGCAGAGGGCGGGGCGGAGGCGAGGCCGGGCGCCGCTCCCGGCGGCGGCGCCGGGGGCGGGCAGTGGTGGTCGGCGTTCCCGCCCGTGCCGCCCTTCGTGTCGCCGGGCCCCGCCGCGCCAGCCGCCACGGCCGCCGCCTCGGCGAGCGATGCGCCCCGCCCGCCCGTCGCGTCGCCGGGCGCGGGGGGCGGCGACGGTGAGGACGACGGCATCTGCGTTGTCTGCCTGGAGGCCCCCGCCACGGCCGGCTTCCTGCACGGAGACTCGTGAGTGTGTGTGGTGGGGGGGGGGCGGGCCTGATGCCACTGGACCAGTGGCCGTGGGCATGCATGGCCGTTGTGGAGGGGGGGCAAGTGGATCTCTGGATTGCATGCTGCCTGCTCCACAAACATTGATTCTATGCGGAGGAGGCCCTCCTGCCGGCCACTCACTTCGTTCACCCATCGCCCATCCGCTTCCTCCCCTGCACCTCATGCCGCAGGGTGCACCGGTGCTGCTGCCGCTCCTGTGCGCAGCACCTGAAGGACCAGAACGTGCGAAACTGCCCCATGTGCCGGGAACCCATCCAGAGCTACATCATGAACGTGTACTGAGCTGGCGGGCCGCTGGCCATCGAGGCCTGGATGGTCTGCCCAAGTTGCAGGCCCTCGGCACCTCCAGGGCAGGCGCTCCGCCGTCGTCGGCACCTCAAGCATCGGCCTCGCAAACCCTAAGTCACTCATCCAGTGCACCTGCATGCTCCTGCCATCCCAACATGTCCCGGGGGTCCGGTTGATCCTGTAGTGTAAACCCGTCTACCCACCTTGTAACATCAAGTGTTGATCTGAGAGCTTGTCCCAGCGGTGTTACAGGAGCGTGGGCTCAAGGTGAGGTGACGAGTTATTGCCCGGGTGCCTCTTGCATTTGAGCAGCCTCAGGAAGAGTCTGTCGGTGACCTGGAGATGCTAGACGTCGTCCTTGCACGGCGCTACATGCTGCACCCTGATGGGATGCAGTGCCACGCAGTACCCTTCGCAGGACACTACGTCTGCATGATATGGCCTTGCATTACGTCAGATGTAAAATTTCAGTCGCCCATCTGCCTTCATTCCGTTGAAGATCGCGAGTACCTGGGGGCACCAGGAGTGGGAGATGTTTGCCCGGGTATCACCCAGAAGCATCTCTTTGCCATCCACTGCCTCAGAGAATCCACCGCCCCTCATCCATTGTTCAACACCCTCAGAACTCCCGCACCTGGTCTGGCGTCTCCACGAGGACAGGCCCGATGGTCACGCTAACGTACTTGCCCCCCGCCGAGAGGCGGTGGGTGACCCGGGAGGAGGGCAGCCGCACGCCAACCACCCGCTCCACGCAGCTGGTCATGGAGGCCACGAAGTCGTCGCCGCCAGAGCCAATAGCCTTGAAGGTTCGATCAGCGGGGTATGCATTCACCTGAAGAGGTCAGTGCAGGGGGTATTGGTGGTAGGGGAAAAGTGTAATCCTGATAAGACCTACTTCAGATGCAAATCTTCGGGGTGCAGCCTGGATGGTACCGTCAAATCATGGGCGACATGCGCGCAGCTTGGTGACATAATCCAATCAAACTTCAAAGTCGTCAACAGGGCACAACCATCATTGGGCAAAGACACCAGCAAACGATGATTCAGGCTGCCCACCTGAGCATCCAGTTCTCGCCACTCCGACTCGTCACCAGTCCCCAACACCACATTGTTGGTCTGAGCTACCCTGCCGACCCTGTCAGACAGCTCTACGGCGATGCATGGGACGTGGAAGTATTGGCGCATTGATTGTGCATGGAAACCAAAATGTCATTACATAATTATTGGGCGCTCAATCAGTGCACATCACCTCACCTCCGAGGGTGCTGCGCAGGGCCTCGCTGGCAGGAGGCGCCTTCCCGAATCCCTTCCCCGCAGTGGACCTGCTGGAAACAGGCTGAATCTCATCCGCACCGTCTGAGCTCCCAAGCGCATGGCATTGCACGGCAGAAGAGTGCACTCGTGTGTGGACTCGGGCGGGCCTCCTTGTCCCGAAGCAGGAGGAGGCGAGAGCGCCGGAGCAGCACCGGAGGCCCACTCTGTGCAGGCTCGAGGCCACAGACATGTCAAAACTGTGCCCAAAGCCCCTAGAGCAATGCAAGGCGTTCCACGCGGGGGTTGCACGACTGCATTCACAGGGAGAAGGGCCTGGATCTCATGAATTCCATCTTTCCAGTTTGAGCGCTGGCGCCCCCGAAACCGGGACGCCCCCTCCCCCGACCATCAAGTCGCTTCGTTCGCCTGTGCGACAAGAACTGGCGGATATCTCTGAGCAGTACTTTGAGTGTACATACCGCTCCCGCTCCCGTCGACGCTGTGGCTCGCCGCCCAGTCCCGGGCTCCAGCCTCGTAGCGGTTCTCTGCAGGACTAGCAGGCATGCCGCAGGGCGACCACATCGAGCTGCACCGGAAGCGGTATGGACGGCAGCTGGATCATGAGGAGCGCACGCGCAAAAAGGAGGCGCGCTCCGTGAAGAAGAGGGCGGCGTATGCTCAGAAGGCCATTGGCCTGAAGGGCAAGATGTTCGCCAAGCAGCGGTACCAGGAGAAGGCGGTGATGAAGAAGACCATCGCAATGCACGAGGAGAAGGACAAGAACCGGCGGGTCAAGGACGCGGACGAGGGTTCGGCCATGCCGGCCTACCTGCTGGAGCGTGACCAGGTGGGAGGAGTGGGATGTGGGGGTGGCATGGGTGAGGGGGCGTGCTTCCGCTGCAGTTGCGGTGGCTCTAAGGTTCATGGTAGTGTGCATGCTCGCACTTTTTGCTGCGACACGCTGCGTGTGGTTGTGCAAGGAGCTGTCTCCCAATGTATGGACGCCGCACGTGCCTGGCCTACCAAACCCTCATCCCCTTCTCAATCACGCCACCACGCAGGTCGACAGGGCCAAGGTGCTGAGCAACACCATCAAGCAGAAGCGGAAGGAGAAGGCCGGGAAGTGGGAGGTCCCCCTGCCCAAGGTCCGCCCCGTGGCCGAGGAGGAAATGTTCAAGGTGCTCCGCACCGGCAAGCGGAAGAAGAAGGAGTGGAAGCGTATGGTCACCAAGGTGAGGCAGGGGGGGGGCGTGGGTAGACTATTTTGGTGTGCGAGTTGCTTGTTTGGAGTATGACAGGCCTTGCAGACCCTCTGATCGCAGTGTGTGGCGGTTGGGGGAGGGGTGTGCGCCGCCCTTTCCCCCTCCCGGCCATACTTGGCAGCTCGCAGCCTGGTCCCCTCCCCCAGGTTACACCACCGCTGTCAGCACCTCGCACCCAACATCTCCCCCCTCCTCCCCCCAAACAACGTCTTTCCAGGTGACCTTTGTGCCACCCGGGTTCACGCGCAAGCCGCCCAAGTACGAGCGCTTCATCCGGCCCACCGGTCTGCGCATGAACAAGGCGCATGTGACCCACCCCGAGCTGAAGGCCACCTTCCAGCTGGCCATCATCGGCATCAAGAAGAACCCCAACGGCCAGGCGTACACGAGCCTGGGCGTGATCACGCGCGGCACCATCATCGAGGTGAATGTGTCGGAGCTGGGCCTGGTGACCCCTGGCGGCAAGGTGGTGTGGGGCAAGTACGCCCAGGTCACTAACAACCCCGAGAACGACGGCTGCATCAACGCCGTCCTCCTCGTGTGAGCCAAGCTGATTTCTCATTTTCATCACGCTGTATCTTACTTTGGCGGCGGCACGGCGCCTGGGTTGCTCGATATCCCACCCACCCCCGCCGTCATCCTGTACACTGCCATTCCCCTCTCCCCGCTCTACCTCCTTTCCGCTCCCCCTTCTGCACGCTTGTTTTTGTGAAGCCAGTCCACACATCAGCACAAGAGTTCCGTAAGCAATGGAAGGGCTACAGGGGTGGGAATCCGTCTCCGCAGGCCACCACGGCAGCAGTCATGGCGGGCGTGGCCTGCGCGGCGCCAACAACCGCCGCATTGTTTCCCGCGGACTTTCCGCGCCCTGATGATATCCCTGCTTGCTTCGATGCCGCCACCCTGCCATTGCCCTCCCGGGGAAGGGTGAGGACCAGAATTCCCGTGGCCCTGCTCCGTGCAGCCCTGCAGGCGTCGGGGCAGACCTCGTCGGGAAGGTGCAGGCTCAGCAGGCGTCCTGAGATGAGGAGCTGGACCGCACGCGGCAGGACCTCCGTCTCTATCTCGGTGGTGGCCAGGTGTTTGCCGATGTGCACCTCCAGCGCTAGCACATGTGGGTCCGAGTCATCCATGCTGAATCGCCAGCCGCCTGCGTGCTGGGTGGGGAAGGTGGGGCTGGTGAGAGACGCCTTGGTCATGGGTTGTGAGAGTGCTTCGTGGGCCCTGCAGCCCCACCACCGCACCCCTTGCCTTCGTTTTTCTGGAGCACCGACCCGTCCCGGGAGAGAATGGGCAGCGTTCGGGGCTCCTGGGGCAGGGCACAGCGACGCTGTCGGAAGGGAGATGCAGCGCTGCTTGTTGCACGCCGTTCCCTGAGCTCCTCCTGGAGGTGTTCTCTTTCCCTGCAGGATGGGAGGGTGGTGCAGAGTGGGATGGGATGCAAAGGCGCCCCGCCAGAAGTGGCGAGTTTGCTGTTCAAGTGCAGGCACTCCCGTCAGGCACTCCCTTCTGACCCTTTCCCTTGGAACTACTCAAGCTGTAATGCATACCTGAAGTCTCGTAACCTCTGCTCTGGGCTCCACGGCAGCCGATCGTGTTCCTGGGTGTCTTCAGCGTCCTCCTGTACGGTCCCTGCCTGGCCCTCAACTTGCAGCACCCAGAGGTCCAGCGCTGCTTCCAGATCCTTGGCAGTACAGGCAGCCCCGTCTCGCTCGTCCTCCGTCACCTCTACCCCGTCCTGTTGAGAATGGCGCAGGGAATGTGCATGGGCATTCTGAAGGGGTCGCTGTCGGCGCTGCGCTGGGGAGGTTCTGCAACAACTCAACTTTCCTGTACAACCTGCGCAATTGCACCTCACCAGGTGAGTGAGCTGCGGCAGTTTACTTATCACATACGGCCTCCAATCTGGCCACCGCGTGCATGGGTTCCCCAGCAGGCTCAGGTGCCGCAGGTCTGGGAGGTGCCTGAGGTTGCTGAGGCCTGGGAGGGCACTGGCAGGGATGAAGTTGAGAGTGAGATCCACCCTCTGCAATGACTCGCAGCGGTGCAGCCCCTCGATCATGGTGATGTTATTGATGGCCAGATTGACGTACTCTAGCACCTGTAAACGGCCATGGGTGGGTGGTGGAACCTGCAGTGAGGAGGGTCGGCAAAGAAAGGGGAGGGTGAGGACCTCGCAAAAGGTTCTGCAGCAAGACCAACCTTGAGGCGATGGAGGTTTTCGATGCGAGGTATGACGTTGTTCTGGAGCATGAGGACGCGTAGCTCTCGGCATCGATGCCCCAGCAAGTTGATGCGTTCTATGCCGAGCCCGTGCAGGGCGATCTCCCGGACCTCCGAGAAGCCCTCGTCGCCGGCGGGGAGAGCCCGCTGGCGCAGCAGTGCCTCCGTAATGAGCACCATGAGCTGGCTGCAGCACCTGCTGAGTGTATTTTGATGGCTGTCTATGATCCGTGCACTGGGTAAATTCGAAGTGGGTGTCGTCCCGGCATCGGTCAACGCCGCCAACGGATCTGCGACTGCGACCGTGCGCCGGAGCCGCAAATGAGGTGTCACCCAGAGACACAGCAAATGGCTTCCCTATCATTCGTCGAGCAGCCCAAGTGCTGGAGTGAGTGGTTACATGCACAAGATGAGTCAGGCAGGGTATACTGTTTGAAGAAGGTGATTGTCTTACTTGGTTTTATAGGTCAGCGTTGGGATGGGCTCGGAAAAATGAACAGGACCGGCAACAACTGGTGGGTTGAATCTCTTACTGCGCGCCAGCCCTCGGCACCCGCCCTCCCTGGCTGTACGCCTTGTACTGCTTCTGCGCCTGGGCCAGGCTCAGCCAGAAATCGATCTGCACGCCGGAGAAGAGGCGCAGCACATCGTCCGTGCCGTGGCAGCAGCTCATCACCTGGCGCCGCTGGCCTCGGACCACCGCCGCAATGAACTGCAGCACAAAGTCTGGGGGCGGGATGGACGTGCCGCCGGCATACGCGGCGGCGGAGCCGGTCTGGGAAGGGGTGCGCTTCGCGATAGCCGGCGGCTCGCCCACCTGCAGTGGTCTTGTCTGCTGCCTGCCCAGCCCCAGCAGTCGGGGGGGGGCCGTGGCGCTTCGGCTGGCAGGGCCGCAGCTTCCACGCTGGCGGCTTGTGAACCACTGATGGCCCCATCTGCAGCGTGCCTGGCCTCGCCACCGCCTGCCACTTTGCCACCATCCCTCAGCAAACTGGCGCCCAGAGCTGCGTCCGTGGCTTCCACATCGGAGAGCCCCCTCGATTGGTCGGCGCCGTCGCATGGCGCCTCTCCCCGCCCCCTACCCCCCGCCGCGACCGGCACACCGTCTCCCCGGCCGGCCGCGGCCGCATGCGCCCACGCCGCCTCCCAGACCAGGAGCACACGCGGGAGGGGCAGCTCCCGGCGCAGCATCACCACCACCATGCGGTAGGCAAACATGCAGTCCCCGGAGTCCAGCGCCCGAAGCCGCGCGTAGAGTGGCGGGTCGGTGTCCGACAGTATGTGCGCCAGCTGCAGCAGCTGGTGCCTGTGGCGGGCGGGATTGGGTAAGTTGAGGCGAAGCGAGGTAGATAGTCTTGTCGAGGGCATGGCCGTCGGGACCTGGGCGGGCGGCCAACCAGCCTAGATGAGCATCTCGTCACGCAGGGCCGAGCAACCCACTGCGCCCAGGCCCCAGCCTCAGGCCAGATCTGGCGCACAGCCACCTGGCCTATGCATTACCCCCACCCTCCCACCCCCCCAACCACGCACTTGATGCCGGTCTCGTCGTGCCGGAAGTTCCTGCGCGCGTGGCGCATGACCCGCTCGAAGCAGGCAAAGGCCAGGGCCTCGTCGGGGACGAGCATGACCACCACCGCCGCCAGGTCTGACATGCCCTGGCAGTACCCCGTCTCAGGGTCGTGCACGCTGTAGGCCGACAGCAGGCGGATCAGGCGCAGCGTGCGGGGCGCGTGCGCCGCGCCCTCCGGCATCGCGGCCAGCGCGTCGCGCGCGGCGCGGCTGTCCCAGTGCCGAGGCTCTGGAGTGGAGGGCGGGGACCCCGACCCTGCCGGACCTGCAGCGGCGTGGGCCGCCGCCCCCCCGCCATCGCACTCTGAGGCGCCGTCCCACGCCTCCCCCGCCCCCGCCGCGCCGCGCGCCGCCGCATCCCCTTCATCCTCCTCGCGCCGGACAAGCAGGATGTCCGGTGCGCCGCCATCCAGAGAGATGGGAAGGACGCTGAGCCCCGCGCCCGGGTCGACGCCGCGGTCTTCGCCGCCGCGCAGATCGGTGCGCAGACCGTCCATGACGATGATGCGGTGCGCCTCGCCAAAGGCCACCGCCGCTCGTGCGGCCTTGCTGGGGGAGTCGGGGCGGCCAGGCGCGGCGGCGGCGGCTGCGGCGGCTCGCGCCTCGGCCTCCAGCCGCTCGCAGACGCGGAGGAGCTGGGCGTAGACGCCGCGCAGGCGCGCCAGCTCCCGGGCCCGGGCCTGCTCCGTGGAGTCGGGGGAAAAGACGCCCAGGAGGAAGGGCCAGAGGGTGCCACGCAGCTCGGGGGAGATGCCCTGAGTGGGGGGGGGGCGGATTGATGCGAGGGGTGTGAGGATTGCATGGTCAGCGCCTGGTGGCTGGGAATGACCTCCCAACCGGGAGATGTGCATGTCGCCACGGGACCAGCACATCGGCGATCCCTCCGGTTTCCTCACCCCCTGCTGGATGATGCGCAGGGCGCTGCGCCAGTTGAGGATGCGTCCCTCCTCGTCCCGCCGGAGGTCCTTGGCGGTCAGAGGGGGGCGGGCCTGCTGCTTACTGGCCGCGGCGATACTTAGGGCGCTTGCCCCGAACATGGCGCCCACAGCCACGCCAGCGACGGCCGCCACCCCCACCCCCAGCCCCACGGCGAAGACGGTGGAGGCCACCGACGACTGGGTGTGCGACGGGGAGCTCATCGCCGTGCAGCCCGGGCTAGGCTTAGTACCGCGCCATGCTTTGAAGGAAATGAATCTGAGGGTATTGAGGTATTCTGCTCTGGGTTCGGTGTGGAGCCGCGACGATATCGCTTGTTCTAGGAGGGAGTCTGCGACGAAATCGCCGCTTCCGTGCTTGGCGTCCGAAACCCCAGGGTTCTCACCTTGCAAGGAAACCTCACACCTCCCATGGAGTCCGTGGATACCACGGTACATACAGTAGAATTACAGCAGGCGGTCAGAAGTACAGAAGTGGAGTTGATAGCTCACGCAGGGCCCAGACCCGGGCGATACACCTGCAGGCGCATGCAACCCCAGGTGTAGGGCCTCCGTCACTGGACGGCATGCAGGCCAGACTCCCCCTGGCGGCGGGACACGGCCCGCGCGCGAGGGATGGGCTGTCCCAGCACGAAATTGTCGTCGTCCTCCTCCGGCTGGGGCCCAAACGGCTCGTCCCGGATGAAGCGGGTGATCATGTCCAGCCCGTGCTTGGGCTGGTCCATGGGCACCATGTGCCCGGCGCCCCCCACCTTGAGGAAGGTCAGCGGGCCAGCGGTGCGGAAGACGCCGGCCTGCTCGCCGTCCACGGTCCAGCGCGCGTCGCGGGCGGCGCGCCAGTCGCCCGCCCCCGCCCAGGGCAGCGCGTCCACCCAGCGGCGGTTGCCCAGCCAGTTGCAGATGAAGTCCTGGTCGCCGGCGTAGATGAGGGCACGCACGCCGCCCGCCAGCAGCTCGGGGAGCACGTGGCTGAAGTCGTGGGGCCAGTCCTCCATCATCTCCGCGTGCACCCGCATGTTGCACGACTTCCACCTTTCAGGGAGGAGAGTGAGCGGGGGTTGAGGGGTAGGGAAGGGCAGGGAGGTTTGGCTTGTGTTTGTCGGCAAAGGGTGGGGAAGCGGATTGGAGAGCGAGCCAGGACCAAACGCTGCCACGGGTTGTCGACCGACCCGCACCATGCTTGGCAAGGAATCTGCAAGCATGCTGACGAATGCACTAGAAGTT